GGCCCTTCACCACGAGCCGGAGGGGCAGGGCAGCCTCACGCCCCTCGCGCACTCTCTGCAGCTGATCCTCACTGAGCCTTTAATGTGAATTCATGATTCTCCTTCTCAGATGGTGGCTGAGGCACCAAGTCCCATTGCTAGGAATCGGCAGAGCCAGGGTTGGGGCCCCGGCCCGCACCTGCCCGTCCTCTGGACCTTCTTCTCACTCCCTGCTCTCACCCAGGGCCTGGTGCTCATTCCACCCTGGACACAGAGGCGAGCCAAGTCCTAACGGGGGAAGGGACAGGCTGTCAGCGTCGCCCCACAGAGGCAGAGACCGTGACTGCGCTCCCTCGCTGGTCAGCAGCAGGGCCAGGGCCAGTGATGTCCCAAACAGCTTCCAAAAAGACAAGGCACAGGGAGTGGCCACTCGGAGGGGGCACAGAGGCTGGCGTGAGGTGGCAGGAGCCCGACCCGGGCGCACAGCTGAGCTCGTGGACCTAGGAGATCTGCGGTGGGTCCCTCTGGTTCCAGCTGTCAAGCTTGAGGATTTGGGGGGCCCAGTCCCAGGAGGTCAAGGACCTGGGCACTCCCAGCAGACTCCCCTCTGCATTCTGTCTATGTCTGGGATGGAAGCCCCTTGCCTTCTCTCCTGGACCCCGGGGTGGGCACACACCTGTGCTCACTCCACCCTAACGTGCCCAGGCCCTTCTGCGATTCTCCAGGAGGAGGGGCCAGGGGACCCTGGAATCCCATCTGATTGGAAAGGAGGCGGATAGGAGGCAGAGGTCCTATCCAATCAGATGGGATCCCAGGTAAACCAGTTAAAGATGAGGGCTCCAGACCGGCTGGGTAGGGGAAAGAAGGCCACCTCCCAGCCGGCCAAAGGCTGGTGGCCACAGAGAGCTAAGCACAAGGCGTCTGGGCCTGCACTGTTACCTGGGGGACCCACCTGGCCCGGCCACTGGTCACCTCCTCAAGCCTCTTCCAGGATCTGGTCCCTGTCCTCGGCTGCCAGCAGCAGGAGCCCTGATCAAGTTTCAGACTCAACTAAAGATAAAACCCGGCTCGAGTCCCCTGGCGCGGGGCCCTGTGGGATGCAACTGGAGCCCGACCCTCTGTACCAGCTCCCACCTCGGGTGCCAGGGCTCCTGCCTCCAGTGCTCCCTGCCTCAGGTGCCAGACCTGCTTCAGTGCTGGGGAGGGTGAGCAGCATGCACTGCCCATCCCCACCCGTGACCTTCCCAAGACCTCCAGCACTGCCAGGGGCACCTCGGGCATCTGGTTCCTCTGACAGGGAACGCTCCTGTGTCGCTGCGCTGCGGCACAGCTGCCTCGGTCCCCACTTAAAGAGGCTCCGCCTGCTTCCATCTGTCTGCGCCCAGCCCCGGCCCCTCCCTCCTGCCCACTGCCACACAATGGAGCCCTTGTGCCAGGTGAGCTGGAGAAGGAGGCTGGAGCTGCTAAGGAGACCAGCCTGGGACATCAGGGAGGCAGAACCCCGGGCCAGGCCAGCCCAGGAGGCTACAAAGTGAGGCCGGTGTCCTGCCTTCTGACACTCCTTGGTCATTTTAATAAACAGGTGAGGGTGGCACCTAATCCTGCCAGGACGGGAGGGCTTCCTGGAAGACAGGGTGCTGGCACTGGGTCCTACGGATGAGAACTGACAGAGTTGGGGGAGAATGTTCTAGAGAAAAGCATGAGCAAGGAAAATAGGTGAGGGCAGGCTGTGAGTGGCGGTCCTCCGCTCGGACTGCTGAGGTTTCTTGGGAGAGACGCAGAGTTGGAAAGAGCTGGGGGTTCACCTCCTGCCCCTTCTGCCAGGAATCCCCGCAGACAGATCCAAGGCTTCTTGCAGGCATCTACCCAGGCAAGCATGCTGCGTGCCCTGCGCCCAGGCCCCCGGTGAGCACACTCAAGCCCTCACCGGGAGCCTCCCTCTAAATGTCACGCTGGCTGGCACACAGCACGCACCCAGGGGAGGACTGCTGAAGAAAGCTGCCTTTTGAGCATGCCAGGCAGCGCGCTCAGCGGCCGTAGGAGTGGGCACTCCTGCTGTGGCTGGACCGTAAAGACTGAGCCTGGATCAATCATCCACCCAAAGCCACTGCTGCAGAGTGCAGTCAGTCAGGTCCAAAGCTGGTTCCAGAATCGAGGTTCCTCACCCCAGCCTCGCACCCCTGACTCTCGGTGTGAACAGTGGACAGCGGCTGCCCCATGAAGCAGAGCCCACCTGTCAGGACTTGAGTTGTGTGTTCCTCTCTCCTGCCCCAAGTTCACAGGAAGTCCCCAGCCCCGTACCTTAGACAGTGACCTTAATCTGGAAATACAGTCGCTGCAGCTGTAATCAGTTGAGTGAGGACAAGGGCTTGACGGGAGAAGGGCGGGCCCTTCCCTTCCCTCAACAAGACCATTTATAAAAGAGGAGTCACAGATACACACAGGCAAGGTGATGTGAGGAGAGTCACCAACGAGCCAAGGAGAGAGACCCGGACCAGACCCTTCCCTGACACTGATTTCAGACTCTGGCCACCAGGGATCTGGGGTAATAAACTTGTTCTTCAAGCCACCCAGCAGAAAGCCACTTTATTACAGCAGCTTTGCAAACCAGTGCACCTCCCGAGGTGGCTCCCTGCCCTGGGGCTGTGGGTGCAGCCAGGACCTGAGATGGCACGTCAGCCCAGCCCTCCCACAGCCTCAGGGGTTGGCCTCTGCAGAGCACCCTCTCTCCCAACCCCCAGGGAATGCCCGTGGCCAGGGGCCTGTCAGTGGTGCAGGGGGCAGGAGACAGGCCAGGAGAGTGAAGGTGGACGTGTCCAGAGGGCTCTGCCTTGCAAGCCCAGCTGCCCCAGCAGCCCCAGGCCTCCCAACTCAGCTTGGTCCTCCACTCCACAGCCTCCACTCCACAGGCCTACTTTTAGTTCTGTGCAGGTACAAAGTGGAATTCCCGCCTGGAATTCCCACCCACTGGGAGCCCGTGAGATCCTGCTGAGGAGGGGGGTCCTGGGCCCAGGGACAGGCTCTTTCCTAGCACTCCTAGGTGAGAAATCCTTTGCACAAAGCACACCAGGGGCTCTTCCCACTGCACCTACTCAGCTGCCGGGGCTTCGATGGCGGTTTTCCCAGGACTCCTCCTGGCCTTCCAGCTGCGCCTAGACCAGGGCTTTTCAATCCTGCTCTGGTCATTCCTGGT